ATGATTCTCTCACATGATAAACATTTCCGTCTCTCTCTCTCTCTCTCTCTCTCTCTCTCCCCTCCTCTCTGAAATCAATAAAAATATATTTTAAAAAATAAATAAAGATTGCTGTTTCGTGCCAAGGGTTGTACAACTCTCTCTCAAGGTTCGGATAGCAAATATTTTATGCTTTGCCAGTTATCTGACCTCTGTCTCCACTATTCAGCTCTGCCATTGTAGCAGGAAAGCAGCCATAGACAACTAAACAAACAAGCGAGGTGTGTTCCCCTAAAACGTTACTCATACAACCTGGCAGCTGGCTGAAGTTTGCTACCCCCTGGTTTAGGGCATCTTGTTATTCCTAAGCTGAAATTCTAAAGATGTTTCAGTTCAGCTCAACCACCCTTTATTTGACACCTACTATGTGCCGCCGTCCATCCAAACACGTACTGGGAGTATCTTCCATGAACACATTGTACACAGAGCTGCTGTTGCTCTGTCCTCCTCCACCCAAAGATGCTCTCTTCCTTTTCAGTTATCCAAACTCAAGGATTTCCGTTCACATTGACCCATTCAAATAGAGCTCTTGAAATATGTTATTTTGCACTGGCTTCCTACTGATTCTTAGATGTATTATCTCCCAATTAGATTGTAAACTCCCTCAGAACTATGTTTGTAGTTCCTTGAGCCTCCAGAATATAGCTTCTGTGATGGAAGCCCAGTCGATAATCATTAATCACTTGCCAATCGACTAGCCCATGGCAGCTGCCTACTGGGTTTGATGGTACCGAGAAAAACAGTTGTCCACGAAGGGTGAGGCTGGCAATGGGAGAGGTGTTTAAAATGCCAAAAGAAAAAAAGGAATGAAACAGAAAAATATATCACCTACTGATTGTGCGACTTTGGATAAATTATTTTCTTCAGTGCCCATATGGGTCAAATGTGAGCCTCCACTAGACAAGTGACTCTTAAAGCTGCTGAGAATCTGATAAAAGCCGAGAAGCCTTTACTAAGAAAAATACAATGATGTTCACACATAAGGGCCCACATCACTTTCTGAGAGCCGTCAGGCATGTGGGCGAAATGATCTCTAAGGTGCTGATAACCAGGTCGGATGCTACATTGCCAGGGGTCATGCTTCTTCCCTCCCCAGTGTACCAGTGAGTGAGTCTTCATTACTTGAATCAGCTGATTGGGATTTGAGTAGCCCCTGCCAACACCTTGCTTGTGCCCCCGAACTCCTCTGCCCAGCCACCTGCAGAGGTGCCCCGCTGGTCCCTGGAGATGCAGGACCTGACCCAGCCCTGGCCCACTCTTTGGAAAAGTGCGTCCAATGCCCATCTGCTGGCAGCTGCCCATCTTTACCTGGATGGCAGCACATTCTTCGTCTTCTTCTCTCCCTCTCGCCTTTTCACTGTTGGGGAAATTGGCAGGCAGAGTTGCTATGGTGATTTGACTGGCAGCTGTGTAGTTGAATAAAATAATTTCCTTTAATTGAAAAAGGAAGCTGTGGCTGGAGGGAGATCTAAGACAATAGTTTTGCCTAGTTGTCCCGTTCTCAACCTCCCCTTTGCACTGCTGCACCTGGAGAGACTCAGAACATTTAAATGCAAAGCCCATGAAACGCGGAGGCCAGATGGTAAAGGTTTTGAACTGGTATTCAGGCTGCGTGAGCTGTCCTCTCACTCTATATAATGAAATGAAAGGTTAATGATTTTAATCTCTTATTTGCTGAAAACATAGCTTTCTTTCCTGCATTAAATGAACGAATACAAACTAATCGCCCTTCCCGGGGAGGGAGTGTAATTTTTACAGGACGATGGTGGCAGATAGTCGGTGAACAATGGCATCTGAGAGCAGTTACAGGTCATTTCCTCTGGAAATGCCAGAGGGAAGCTTGGCAGAGACCCAACAGGAAAGA